AGAAAATGCACCTAAGGGACAATTTCTAAGGATAAGGAGAAATTGCACTGATATAGAGACTTTTAATGTACAGTCTACTAAGATTAAAGAAGATTTTTTAGAAAAGGGTTATAAGGAATCCAAATTAGAAAAGTCAAGACTAGAAATTAAAGAAAGAGAAAGGAAAGATCTTATAAATTATAAAGAGAAAAAGAATGATGAAACTGGTAAAATACCCTTCATATGCACTTACAGTTCTGATAATTACAAAGTCAGAAAAATTGTATCTAAATATTGGCCAATTTTACTCCAAGACCCTTCTCTTAAAACTTTTCTTCCCGACCAACCTTATTTTATACATAGGGGAATCAATAATTTAAAAGACTCTTTAACATCAAGTTATATAAAAGAAAAACCTAAAAATATTACTACATTTTTTAATACAGAAAAAGGGTTCTACGGATGCGGACAATGTTTAGCTTGTAAAAGAACAAATAATAAAAAAAGACAAATTAAAAACTTTATGTCGAATGAAGGTACAAAATACGAAATCAAAGAATTTATTACATGTCACTCAAAAAATCTAATTTAACTTATACAATGTCCCTGCGGCTTAAATTACATAGGAAAAACCACTAGACCTTTACACATAAGAATGGAGGAACATGGCCGCAACATAAGCAAGGGATTCGAAAAACATAGTGTGTCTTTACACTATAAGAATCACCACGCTTGTGAATTAAAAGGGACTACTTTTCTAGGAATTAAGAAAGTAACTAAAGATTGGAGGGGGGGGTAATTTTAATAAAAAATTGAGTAAAGTAGAGATGGAGTGGATATTTAAACTAAACAGTCTGATTCCAAACGGTCTAAATGCAGACTTTGAAATGTGCCATTTCCTCCTTTAATCCCTAAAAAGAAAGGTCATATTAGTATAAATTGGTTTCATATTGCACTAAGATTTTTAACTGTATTAATATGGGTTTTTACTACACATATATTTTTTAAAATATTATGATTAAAAATTTTTTTTTTTTAAATATTATGATGAACTTCTGTAAAGCTTTTGTATTTTATCTCTCTGTAACTATAGATAATCTCTCCTGAATGTAAGAAAAATAGCTTTTAACCAAAAGTCAAATGCTATTAATGAGTATACCATTTTAATAATTAGAATCTAAATATAGTAATACTTATGAACTAATAATTTCAAAGAAAATGCCATTTAAATGTATATCAAAAGAAATACCAAGCTGAAGAGAAGGTATTCTATAATAAATAGTCCTACCTCCTTTTAAAAGACATGAATTCGTTCTTAACTGTCTGTGAATGAATTAAGTATAAGTTAGAAATAACAAACGTATGTATTAATAGATGAACTGTAAATTTAACTTGTTTTTAATTTGCTTTTAATGCCTGTGATCAAGAGAAACAATATTGGACTACAGTAGATTTCAGATCACAGATGTAGATCACATATCCACAGTGGAACGCACTGTGGAACGCATGGTGGAACGCATAGCAGTGAAAAATGCCGAAACCGGAAGTGACATATCGGCTTAGAAAGAGGAAGTAGGAAGAAACCAAAATGAGGCTTGGAACACAGGGTATCTCCATTACCATGGAGAATACCCGCGAAATCCAAGCACATACAGCTGTTCTCTCAATGAAGAAGGATATTTAAAGCAGGAAAGAGGTCCAGAGAAACATCACAGAATTTATCCAGCTGAAGAAGCCTTTCGGCGAAACGCGTTCTGGAGGAGAAGTGAGCACTGAAAATCTTTTTTTGGACTCTATTGGACTTTTAACCTTAATAGTGTTTATTTTATATATATAAATTTTATAGTGTGTAATAATTTTTTATAGTCAATAAATTATATATATTTTTTGATACACTTATGGCTTTTTCCTGCTGATATAAAGGAGTGTGGTCCTTAAACCACAAATGCGCATTGAAGTGAGCCTGTGAATCGGCTCTGGGTTTGTGAGTACCTTACCTATTACTTACACAGATTTATTATAATATAAACAGTACTACACTATATACCCCCTCCTGTATCCATATAGGATTGGATTAAAGAAAGGAGAAGAAGGGAGAGGGTCGCCTATACGGATCCTAAAGCGCCAAAATCTGAGCTAGATCCAATAGCTCAGAAAATTGTGAGTTGGCATTTGGCATTTGTTCATAAAATTTATTTACTATTTTCTGTACAATCTACACTATGCTGTGTATTTTTCTCTGTTTTACCTAAAGGTTAACAAGAATTCACTGACATAACGTAGAAAGAAAAATTGGGTAAAAAATCTCCATATTCAGTTTTACACATAAGCACTGCACCAGTATTCCTTACTATTTTCCAGCATTGGGGGTGACCCTTGCCTTCCACACACCATACCATCCACAGAGTAGCGGTAAGGTAGAACGCATGAATGGCACATTGAAGGCCAGAATGCTCAAAATGTCCCAGGAGACTAATATGCCCTGGTCCGAGAGTCTCCCACTAGCACTGTTCAGTGTACGGTACACCCCTAGGGGAAAATACAGCTTATCTCCCTATGAGATTTTGTTTGGTACAGCAAGGTTAGGTTGGGTTGTTATTTCTCTCAACAACTTCAGATTCAGTCAGATGCTATGGTAGATTATGTAACTGCTCTCTCTCATGCCTTGACCAAAATCAATGCCCAAGTGTTTTCTTCTATTCCAGATCCTGAGTCGAATACAGGTACACACAAGTTGCTTCCAGGTGACTGGGTTATGGTCAAGAAATTCCTCAGGAAACATACTCTCAAACCAAGATTCGATGGCCCTTACCAAGTGCAGCTAATCACGGCTACCTCAGTAAAGTTGGCCGGAAAAAGTTCTTGGATACACGCCTCACATTGCAAGAAAGTGCCTGCTCCAGAGTAAGCCACCCCCGTTGAGCCATGAGTTTTCTGTGTTTCCTGTGTTTTCATTTGCTGCTAACCATCATAAAGGCCCAACAAGTAGCTATAACCAAAGATAACCATGTTTACATGTTTTGGTACAATTCCTCAAACACAGATGTAGCTACATTTACCTTTGACTACTGTGATATTGTTGCTTGTGCTTTTCCACAATCACAACACACTGCTATATATAAAGACATACCTGACAAGAAGGACCCATACATTTGTGTGACTGGAGGGTCCTGGGGACATCATTGTAGTTCCTGGAAGGCGGCTGGGTGGAATACAGGTAAACCATGGGGATATAAACCCCAATGTGACCTAGATAGAGTTGACAAAGATGGGAAACCCCTACTCTCTAGAATGACCCTAGGTAAACCTATCTGGTCAACCCCAATCAAACGCACCTTGAACTTAGAGTATCACTGTCCAGGGGATGCAGGGGAATATGTAATGGGCATGTACTGGAAGGGTGGTGGCTCATATAACAAGTTGGGGACATCCTTTCTGCAAGACATGCTCACCTCATCTGACTGGATAGGTACAACTCACATGACTATCAACCCACTTAAACCTCACATTAAAACCTTACATGACATGGTTGCTATTGCTAATCCCACTTGCGAAGACACCATGGCAGTAGAAACCGGGTTCTCAGATACTAACTTATGGTTGGAGTGGATGAGGTATAATGCTAATTCACACAATAAGACTAACTGTTATGTATGTGGGGAAGCTAGGCTGGGCACAGTGCCTCTAAATTTACCCCCCGATGTTGAATTGTGTGTTCTGAGCCTCTATGCACAATCAACCACTAACTCCTCAACGTGTGAATCATGGAAAAAGGTATACCCCGTCACCCAGGGACACATTAGACCACCTGATGGAGTTACAGTATACCCAGGTAATTACACATGTTACTCAATACCTAAAAACACTGGTAAGTTCATGGGTAAGTTCCCATCCGGCTATTTCTCCACCTATCATGACCCACCTATGACACTATTAATGAATCATGTAAAAACAGTTGGAGATATTTATTGGCTGTGTGGAGATAAGCAATTGAGATCCCAGCTAGCTGGATTATGGTGGGGAGAGTGTACGCTGACTAAAGCTATAATGCCCATCCATATTATCCAGGATGGCCATCAAAATGTGTTTGATCCTAGACACATACACCCCAGAGCCAAAAGGGAAGTTTCCATCCGTGGTAGTTTTGATCCACATGTTTATATTAATGCCATCGGAGTGCCGAGGGGGGTGCCCAACGAATTTAAGGCTAGGGATGAGGTTGAAGCTGGATTCGAGTCTCTGATTCCATTAATCACTGCTAATAAGAATGTTAATTGGATTAATTATATCTATTATAATCAGCAGCGATTTGTTAATTATACTAGAGATGCCCTACAGGGCCTGGCAGAACAACTGCAAGCTACCACTCAAATGACATTCAAAATAGAATGGCTCTGGATATGATTCTAGCAGAAAAGGGGGGCGTATGTAAAATCCTCCCTGAGACCATGACATGTTGTACTTTTATTCCAGACAACACTGGGCCCAATGGTAAGGTAACCATGGCAATAGAGAAATTAGACAGCCTCTCAGATGAATTACAAAGGCATTCAGGGGTCACTAATGTATGGGACAGATGGTTTGGATGGATGAATGATTGGCAGAGAACCCTATTCCAAGTTGGGACAGCAGTTCTTACAATGATCATTATCTTCCTGTTCTTGACTTGCTGTGTACTACCCTGCATACAAAAATACTTGCAGAAGACAGTAGGAAAGACTGTAGACAACGCGACTCCTACTTTCTTACACCAAGACGTCACTGACCTAGAATGTGACACACCACATACACCCCTCCAATCCCACCACTTCAAACAGACAACTGCATTTTTATAGGGATAGCATAGGGATAGCGTCTGTCTCTACGGGCAAGAGTCTCACGTGTGGAGATGTAGTGGACTAGCCGCTGCGGGTTACCCACAGAGTGAAGCGTTCGAGGCTCGTTAAGGCAGATGGGCTGCAGACAGCTAGGGACATGCTAGGGACAGTAGTAGTTGTCTTTGGTAAATAGCCATTTTAAGGGGGGACTGTTGTGGAAATGAGATATTGACATAATTTTTAGTTAGTAAAATGTCTATTTACTCATCTAACTGTAATCAGCGCATAAGCTATTAATGTGATTAGACAAAATGGCCACTAGAAGCTTCCAACCCCTCCCTCTAACACTGACTAACTACCTCGTGTAACAAGATGGCGCTGGAATCTGTGGGAGACCCTCATGGTCCCAGTGACATCACCTTTAGTAGGCAGAGCATTAAGAGAACCTAACCAATTAATAAAGTATTATTTCATGTTATCTCTGACAATGCTTATGATGTAATTTTGCTTTAAAAGGGGCCTGCCATCCCCTCTGAATAAACATTCCTCAACCTGAAACCTGTGTCTGGTGTGAATTACTTCAGGGAGCGTGCACGCACTGTTTCTTTAATTTGGCCAGGGGCAGATTCACAAAATAATCAATTTATTGATTGATTTCCACTTCACTACTACATGAAGTTGTTCTGTGTTTACATTACTGCATAGGGACACCTCTAATGGCAGTTACTCAAACGGCCACTAGAGGTGCTTCCTGGGGCAATTCTGCACAACACGCAGCACTGACGTTCTGCGTTTCCACACTCTGAATGGAGGCACTGAATTTTCCCCATAGAGATGCATTGATTCAGGACTGATGTTCCAGGAGGGATAAGCCAAATGGCAAATGATTTAGGTAAACTAGAAAAATTGTCAGAGCTGTGGCAGCTGACATTTAATGTGTATAAGTGCAAGATAATGCATCTTGGACGTAAAAACCCAATGGCAGAGTATAGAATATTTGATAACCTCAACATCTGAGGAAAGGGATTTAGGGGTGATTATTTCAGATGACTTAAAGTTTGGCAGACCATGCAATAGAGCAGGAGAAAATGCTAGCAGAATGCTTGGTTGTATAGAGAGAAGTATTAGCAGTAGAAAGAGGGACGTGCTCATGCCATTGTACAAAACACTGGTGAGACCTCACTTGGAGTATTGTACACAGTACTGGAGACCGTATCTCCAGAAGGATATTGATACATTAGAAAGAGTTCAGAGAAGGGCTACTAAACTGGTTCATGGATTACAGGGTAAAACTTAAGGAAAGGTTAAAGGATCTTAAAGGGACACTGTAGTCACCCAGACCACTTCAGCTCAATTAAGTGGTCTGGGTGCCAGGTCCCCAGGTTCTAACCCTTCAGATGTAAACATAGCAGTTTCAGAGAAACTGCTATGTTTACATTGCAGGGTTAATCCAGCCTCTAGTGGCTGTCTTCCTGACAGCCGCTAGAGGCGATGCTGGATGCGAAAATAGCATCCAGCGTGCAGAACTTCCATAGGAAAGCATTGAGAAATGCTTTCCTATGGACTGTTTAAATGCGCACACGGCTCTTGCCACGCATGCGCATTCCGCTCCACTCAGGAGCTGGTGTTGGCGGGGGAGGAGAAGTCACCAGCAACGAGGGAGCCTGGCACTGGATTAAGGTATGTATGTTTTAACCCATTCAGTGCCAAAGGAGAGGGGCCCTGAGGGTGGGGGGTCCTAAGGAGTATATAGTGTCAGGAAAACAAGTTTGTTTTCCTGACACTAGAGTGATCCTTTAATTGACAAATAATGTATTGAAAGTTTCAAGAGATGAAAACAAACTTACAATCTAAAGCAGCGGTTCCCAAAGTGTGGGTTGCGACCACACATCCAGGGCCGCCGGGGAGTCAGGCAAGCAGACTGATCAGGAGGGGGCCCGGCGGCTTGCCCTGTATGCCGCCGGGCTCCCTCCAATCAGTCTGCCCAGCACCTCCGGTCTGCAGCTCCGCCGGCTGCAGAGCTGCAGACCGTGTGATAGAAGTCTCGCGAACACCCAGAGTGTTACCATGGCAACACTCTGGGAGCTCGCAAGACTTTTATTACACTGGTTGCAGCTCTGCATCCGGCGGAGCTCAGACCGGAGAGTTAACACACCGGACCAGCAGGGAGAGACACTGGACCACCAGGGAATTCAATGAAGATAGGACACACCCCCCAGACCATGTCCCCCCCCCCAATGTATCCCCTTCACTCCATGCCCTCCCCCCATGTACCCCTTCACCCCATGCCCCAAATGTAACCCCTTCACTCTATGCCCTCCCTATGTAACCCCTTCATGCCCTCCTCCATGCCCCCTTCACTCCCTGCCCTCCCCCATGTAACCCCTTCACTCCCTGCCCTCTCCCAATGTAACCCCTTCACTCCATGACCTCCCCCCATGTAACCCCTTCACTCCATGCCCTCCCCATGTAACCCCTTCACTCCCTGCCCCCCAATGTAACCCCTTCCTCCATGCCCTCCCCATGTAACCCCTTCGCTCCTGCCTTCTCCCATGCCAGCCCCTTCATTCCCTACCCTCCCCATGCCAACCCCTTCACTCCTGCCCTCCCCATGTAACCCCTTCTCCTGCCATCCCCATGTGCCCTTCATCCCCCTCCCCATGTGGCCCTTCCTCCTCCCTGCCCCTCCTCCTGCCCTCCCCATTAACCCCTCCACTCCTGCCCCACTCCCCATGTAACCCTTCCTCCTGCTCCCCATCCCCATGCCCTCCCATGGCACCCTTCATCCATGCCCTCCCCATGTACCCTTCTCCCCTCCCATATAGCCCTTCACTTCCTGCCCTCCCCATGTGGCCTTCATCCATGCCCTCCCCATGTAACCCCTTCGAGCCCTCCCCCGTATGGCTTCCTCCCTGCCCTCCTGATGTAGCCCTTCCATCCTGCCCCTCCCCGGTGTAACCCCCACTCCTGCCCTCCCGTGTAACCCCTTCACTCCCTGCCCACCCATGTAACCCCTTCACTCCTGCCCTTCCCCACATGTAACCCCTTCACTCTCTGCCCCTCCACTGCCACCCCTTCACTCTCTGCCCCCCCACGCCCCTCCTGCCCCACCCAGCCTTTTCTCCCCTTGCCCCCACACTGTAAGCCTTTCTCCCCCTGCCTGCCCACTGTAACCCTTTCTCCTCCTGCCCGCCCACTGTAACCCTTTCTCACCTTGCCCACACACTGCCACCCACACTGTTACCAGCAAACACACTCCCTCCCACACTGTCACCCTCACCTCTCCCACACACTGTCACCCTCACTTCCTGTCTCTGCGTGTATGTGTATCTGTGTGTCCTTTTGTGTCAGTGTGTGTGTATTTGTGTGTCTGTGTGTATTGTGTGTATCTGTGTACATGAGTATCTGTGTATCTATGTGTGGGAAACTAGGTGTCATTGTGTGTCTGTGTATATTGCTGTGTCAGTGTGTGTATTCACACATACTCCATACAAAAAACCAAACATGTTTACATTCAAACACACATTGTGTATATGTATATTTTATAAACACAATACACACACTGCATCCACTATACACACACACACACACTGCAACCACTACACACGTACTGCAAACGCAAACATTACATACAAACACACCCCGGCATTAAAACACTAAAATTATCTACAAACACCCCTTCATTCAAACACCAACACTACACACAAAAAGCACACCTGCATTTCAAGTCTGACACTACATACAAACACCCATGCATTCAGACGCAAACATTACAAACAAGTACACCACTACATTCCAATGGCAACAGTACATACAAATACACCCATACATGCACATTTATATATACTTAATACAAAAACATGCTTACATTCAAACGCTCAAACACTGCTCACAAATATAACCCTGCAATGATAAGAAAATGGTAGTTCCCCATCTGGTATAGCATTGATGGAGAGCTACCTTTTGGCCACACTTGCACTAGAGGGGGCCCAGAAAACATTCTTGCACCAGGGCTAACTCTACATTAGTTCCACCAATGGGATAATCAATTTGAGGTGCCTGGATGAATAAGCAGGATAGAGCACTTCTGATTCTGAGTCTGTGAGTAAGCAGTTGTATGTCTCTAAAACTGATTGCCATGATGTGCAAAGTTTCTGCCTCTAAAACTGCCATGATATCCCAGAATTATGCCTCTAAAACTGCCATGTTATGCCAATTTTATGCATCTAAAACTGATTGCCATGGTGTGCCAATTTTATGCTTTTCAAACTGATTGCCATGATGTGTCAATTTTATGCATCTGACTGTTTGCCATGGTGTGCCAATTGTATGCCTCTGAAGCTGATTGCCATGATGTGCCAAGTCTATGCATCTAAAAGTGATTACCATGATATGCCACGTTTATGCATCTAAAACTTATTGCCACGGTGTGCCAAGTTTATGTATTTAAAGCTGCCATGATGTTCCAATTTTATGCCTCTAAAGCCGATTGCCATGATGTTCTGAATGTATGCCTCTAAAGCTGGTTGCCATGGTGTGCCAATTGTAAGCCTCTAAAACTGATTGCCACGGTGTGCCAATTATATGCACCTAAAGTTGCCATGATGTGCCAAGTTTATACATCTAAAACTGATTGCCATGATGTACCAATTATATGCATCTAAAGCTGATTGCCATGGTATGCCAATTGCATGCATCTAAAGCGGATTGCTATAGTGTGCCAATTTTATGCATCTAATGCTGCCATAATGTTCCAATTGTATGCCTGTAAAGCTGATTGCCATGGTGTGCCAAAAAATGATCTCTATGTACCATCTGTATGTACAAAACGTTTATGTACTACTATATGACGTATTGACCCCTATGCTCCAGAAGAATTCGATTGACCATATCCATATAAGGTAGTCAGCAACAGGATTATGTCACAATCTCACTAACACGCACATATGGTCAACAATATGATGTATTGACCCCTATGTCCTAGATCTAGATGAACCCATTTGACCATGTCCATATATGGTAGTCAGCAAAAAGATTGTGTCAGAATGTCACAAACACACACATATATGGTCAACAAATGATGTATTGACCCCTATGTCCTAGAAGTAATTTGACCATGCCCATATATGGTAGTCATCAAAATGATTGAGTCTAAATGTCACAAACACCAGCAGGTATAAATGATGCTGCAGGAGCCTCTCAGAGCATAACACCTTCTCTCTTAAAGCAAGAAACATCAGGACATCATGGCATATCGAAGGAAGCGAAGAAGCAGTAGTGGCGGCAGGTCAGCATCTAGGAGAAGACGCAGACGAGGAGGTAATTAAAAATATTTTGATTATCTAAAAGCAGATTCATCTATTGCTTGGCTAGCGATCTTCAGTAAATAAAACTAAAACTGTAGATGGATGCTAATATACAATTATTAATCTAAACTTTTTCTTTT